TTTTGTTTTTGTCTATGTTGTTATTTTGTTGCTTTTAAAATTCTCTTTAAAAAAGAGATTGAGTCTGAGTTTTGTAATATTCAGTAAGAAAATAGAATCATATGTAAATATTTTCTTCAAATAAAGTGAGGAAGCAGAGTACCCTAAGAAGGGGAAGTCAGGAGCTTAGATTACCTGAAGGACCTAAGCTGAAGTACGGAGACCAAACCTGCCTAGTGGTGATTAGCCCCGAGCACTCTGGATGTGACTTGGTCCAGGGAGTTAAGAGAGTAGGTGTTTGTACTGGGCCCCTTCTGGTCAAATGTTTCTGCCTCTAAAATTTTACACAATCAAGAACTCATATTTTTTCCTCATTGAACAGTATCATTGTTTTCATGCATGGATAAATGTTGTGCTTAATTTTTTACGGTGGTTTCTACTGAGGAAGTGAAATGTCCCTTTTTTATTTCCACTTTCTTTATCTTTGCTCCACACACTAGGAATAAAGTACTGGTTAGAGAATTCAGATCTCTATGGAAGTGTCATTTGGAAGTCCCCTGGGATGGGACAAAGCCAAGGTCAGAAAATGCAGACATGCCTTATTTGTGCACCGAATTCTCCATGACCCTACTCTTCAGCTTTGTTTATTCCATTCCCTCATCTGTGCTCTCTGCTACCAGTGCACCAGCCATTCCAGACGTGCTCTCATTCTTTTGGGGAAGCCTCAGATGACCTTCCCCCACACTGACTGGCTAGCTCATATTGCCTTCTTCAGGAAACCTTCCCTGGCTCCCTATCAGTTGGTTTGTAATTGTTTGAAACCTTTAGGCATAATTATCTTTGCATTGCTCACATTTCCTTACAATGATCTGTTGAAATACGTCTTTCACATGGAAGAGCGAGCTCCCTGAAATGACTGTCTTGTTCATGTTTTTGTCGCTAGAAGTCCAATGAGCTATCCATTGTGCTACAGAGTACCTCGGTTCATGTTTTCATTCCTAGTGCTTAACAATGTCTGGCATACAGCTGATGATAAGGAAATGTTTGTGAATGAATGAATGAATGAATGAATGAATGAATGAAATACTACTTCCTGCTGTGCTTTTCAGCGAGCTGGGGTCCTTTTGTGAAGTCCGTCATTATATACATCTTTATTGAGCTTGTGCTAGATTCTGGGATTGATAAATGCATTTTTTCACTTCTATTACATTTTTTGTCTCTTCATGAAAACAGATTGAAATACCTTCTCTGTAGTTCACTTATACATTATTTATGATAAATGGTTAGATGGATTGTAGAGCTTAGGCTAGTAAAGCTCTACCACTATTGATTAATTCCCAATTGCATACACTGTGAGCAGGCATTTATATTTCTTTATAGAGTATACAGCATTGATTTTAAACTAACCACTCACTAGAGCAGTAGAGAGTATTCAAGGACTCTGGGACTGGTCTGGAGAACCAGGGTAAAAAGCTGAGGTTTAGGACCCCCATCTAGTATCCTACTTTCAACTCCATTTTTTAGTTATTTCCCCATGAAACTCTCTGAGAAGAATGGATTTGTTGTTCTAAAAAGTTTGAAAACCACTGGTATTGTTTTTGAGAAGTAAAGAGGTTAAAGAAAGAAAGTTCCTATATAGTTTTTTTAGTTGTAGACACCACATAACATAAAATTTACCACCTTTACTATTTTTAAGTGTACATTACTGTAGCTTTAGCTATATAAGCATTGCACAAAAGAACTCTAGAAAATTTCATTTTGCAAAACTTTCTTTTAAATAAAGTAAAATTTAACATAAAATTGTGAGACATTTCAGTATTAATTGCTTCTTTTAGCCTTTGTTTTATTTTGACCAATGTATCACGTCACAGTCATAAAAGATATTTATTTCCCCTTGCCTGTTTATGTAAAGAGGAAATATTGGCACACTAAGCTATGCCCCTTCATTCTTAAATGCTATATCTGGACTTTATTTATATGATGAAAATCCGTAAAGAGTTGGTTTTAATGTGGATCATCTAGTTCAACTCTCTTATCTGCAGATTGGAAAACAGGTCTAAAAAACTAAGTGTCTTCTATGATTGTAACCAAGAAGCTCTTAATGGCAGAAAATGGACTAATTTTCTTATTTCCTGATCCAATGTGGCTCAACTACTTGGCTTCATTTCATAATCAAGGGTAGTGGAAGTATCTGCATTCTTTTACTTGAATCTCTTGCTATATGTATACTCTAATTCCTTTTGCAGCTATTGGTGGGGGGAGAGAAGAGAATGTTAATGGTGGAATGTGCCTAATAGCTCTCTCCTGTATACCAGGATCTAAATTATGAGCTCTACTTAAATTGTAGATTGTTGTACTTGTTTTTTTAGAATTTTTAAAAAATTTTTTAAAAGCTATAGTAAAATATACAATGTATAGTTCACTGATGTATTCATCTGTTTTATCATACTATAAGGAAATACCTGAGGCAGGCAACTTTATAAATAAATTTATTTGGGCTCATGGTTCTGTAGGTATGGCATCTCTAAACACCATAATCAGATTAAGGTTCCACTCTCTTAAAACCCAACAATAGATACTATATTTCAACACATGAAGCCTTGGGGGACACACCGAAACCATATTCAAACCATAGAAACTAACATTAAACACATTTGCATTGTTATGCAACCTCATCATCATCTATCTCTATAACTATTTTCAAAGTTAAAACTAAAACTTTATATTCACTAAACAATAGCTCCTCAATCCCCTTTTATCCCAAGCAGCTGACATTTTATTTTATGTCTCTATGGATTTGACTATTCTAGGTACTTCATATAAAGTGAATCATACAGTGGTTTTGTTTTTTTTTTTTTTTACTACTTTATGTTACTTAGTATAACGCCCTCAAGGTTCACTCATATTGTAGCATATGTCATAATTCCCTTCCATTTTAAGGCTCTATAAATGTTCCATTGTATATACAAGTCCATAGCTTATGATACTTTGACTTATACTTCTTTTAACTTTATAGTGCTGTGAAAGCATGCCCATAGAACCATTCTGTTTCTTCACTTTCAGTACAGTATTTAATAAATTACATTAGGAATCCAACATTTTATTATGCTAGTGTTACATGATTTTTCCTAGTTGTGATCTGTCATAGTCAACTGGTTATGTCAACTTGCATAAGAAATGGCCAGTTAAATTGAATCAGAATAGTTCTGTTAGCAGTTTTCTTTGTGTAGTAGGGAGTACTGGGAATCAGACTCAGGACCTTGCACTTGCCAGGCAGGTGCTGTGCTGCTGAGCTATACCTCCGGCCACTGGATCAGCATAGTTCTGGATGTGGCTGAAGGGATTTACGGAAGACAGATGACCCACCCTGGATGTGAGTGGCACCAAACAGGCTTGCTTGTAGGCCGAACTGAGTAAATGGTAAACAAAGAAGGAAGGCTCACTTCTGCTTCTTCAGAGGAGCCCCGGTCTTCATCCTCACCTTGGACATCATCGCCTGGATTCTAGGACTCTTCAGCCTTCCAGCACAGACCCTTTAGCATCCTGATATGGACTCATAAAAAACACTACAGTGAGCTCCAGGCCTTGGACCTTTGACTGAATCCTTCCGCTCTCCAGCACAAAGAAAGCCCTTTTGCACTCTTCCACACCCGACACTGCATACAGCCATTTTATGTACCATGTAAATCCTTGTATATTTGTATATCTTGCATTGTCTGTTTCTCTAGTGAGCACTGACTGATACATGAGCTGACTCAATTATTCTGAGCACATGTGAAGACTAGACTAAACTATGGTAGTCAGGGGCTGGGGATTTAGCTCAGTGGCACAGTGCCTGCCTGGCAAGCGCAAGGTCGTGAGTTCGATTCCAGTACTGGAAAAAAACCAAAAAGCAAAACAAACAAAAACAACTATGATAGTCAGTAAGTTAGGTGTAAATTATGGTACTTTCTACTTACAATGAGTTGGTTGGGACATAACCCCATTGTAAGTGAAGGAGCATCTGTACATAGGATATTTCATTTACTCACCTGTTGATGACTCCATTGTCTTGCTTTTGGATGTTATTTTCCTTATTCACAGATGAGGAAACAGATGAAAAAAATTGAATTCCTTTCTACTGGTCACAGAGCCCATAAAGGATGTAGTTGTAGATGTACTTGAATCTAAAAGGCATGTTGTTTTCAGTGTTTGAGGCTGTGTCCACATAGCTGAAATATATTTACCTACATCAGCGCAGTTAGGGGAATAAATGATATTAATATCACATTTTAGAGCCTTCATTTGTTTTATTTTAGGGATAATCTAGAAGGAGCCTTTCTTAACATTATTTAAATTGTTCAGGTTTTTAATATTTAATGTTTATATACTGGCTGAGCATAAGGTATTTATTCAAAGTAATTTTTATCATGGTACAAACAGATGCCAATATTAAAATAAAAGGTAAACTTTATTCAAACATGCAGTTCTTGGTAAAGTACAAGATGTAAATGTCATCTTACATTGTTAAGAAAACTTGTTACATCCTTTAGAGTTGAGGAGAAATATTATCCATATTAACTTCTCTGTGAAGCAAAGCAAAACAAATTGAGCTTTAAGGATCTATATCCCTACTTTAATGACAATAATAGCTAATATTTACTGCTCTTCAGCTATGTCCCAGGCACTGTGCTAAGCTCTTTGCATATTATCTGATATAATCTTCTCAGCACCTTTGGGTTTTCAGTATCAAATCCTCATTTTATAAAGGAGAAATGAAGTTAAGAGAGGGGTTAGGTAACTGTTGTGGGTTGAAATGCATTACCCACAAAAGATTTGTTGAAACCCTAACACCTAGTATCTCCAACTACGACTGTATTTCCAAAATGTCTTTAGAAATAGGGTCTTTGTGGAGGTAATCACATTTCTACAAGGCCATTAGGTTAGGCTCTATTTAATACATAAAATGGGGAAACCTGGGCATGGAAGCAGACACACACTGGGTTAAGGCAGCCGTGTGACTGGACTGATTCCTCTGACAGAAGGAATGCTGAGGACTGCCAGCAAATACCAGAAGATAGAAGAAGCGATGAAAGATTCCCCTCAAGAGGCTTGAGAGAGAACCCCGCTCTGAACATGTTACCTTGACACCATGGTTTCAGACCTACAGCCTCCGAAACTGTGAGCTAATAATATTTCTCTTGTTTAAGCCATTCACTTTTTAGTATTTGTTATGGTAGCCCTAGATGACAAACACAGTAACTTTCCAAAGTCAAGCTGACAGCAAATGGTAGGCCTGATATTTAGACACAGGTATCTATGAAGAGCTCAATAAATGTTTTCTGCTACTATTACTTATATTATTATCAATAACATTCAATGCTGTTATTATTAATAATAAATCTTGGGGCTCTGCTTATTTCCTTTCTCTTGAGCCTGTACTGTTATGTATCTTCTGTGCTATGAGTCAAGCTTCAAAAACTAGATATAAAACCAGTTTTGATTTTTTACTTTATTAAGAAATAAAATATATTTTCATAACCAGATAAGAGAAAAACAATTATACTTTGTATCATTATCTTAAAAGTAGTACTCAGTATAAGACATAAACCAAAAAGATTCTTACAAAAAAGAAGCAGAAAACAACACAAATTTCTTTTGAACAATCTAAATAAACCTTTAGTATAAATGAAACAAATTCACATATACACAATGGAGTACTATGCTGCCATAAAGAAAGATAAACTCGAGGCATTTGTAGATAAATGGATGCAATGTGAGAACATGTTAAATGAAATGTCAGCCATACAAGCTCGAATACTGCATAATTTCTCTTATATGAAAAGCTTTATATATA